GTAGTAGTAGTAGTAGTAAGTAGTGAAGCAGTAGTCCATGTAGACTCACGAGAACAGATCAGACGCTGGCATAACATCATTTTTCTCGTCCGTAGGCACCCGGTGCCTCAAATCCCCAAACCCGAAGCCCCCAATTCCGAATTTGCCGCAAAGTAATAGCCTCTAGGCCTAAAGCCTCAAGTTGAAACCCGAAGGTCTTCACCCTAAGCCCTAAACCCCTAANNCCTAAACCGTAAACCCCTCAACCCTAAACCCTAAATAATCCTAAACCCTATATATCAAGTTTAGAAAACACGCCCCGGCGGAGACGACGCATAGGACATGCCCACACGATCGCTGCGGGGTCCGCGAAGCAAAGGGTCGACATTGGGTTCCAGGCCAGGAAGGGGTCCGACTTAGGGTTTATTGAATTTGGGGTTAAGGCTTAGGGTTCATTAAGTTTGGGGTTTAGGGCTTATAAGTTTAGGGCTTGAGGTTAATTAAGCTTGGGGTTTAGGGTTTAGGGCCTTGGGGTTTAGCTCTTTGGGTTTAGAGTTTAGTAAGTTTAGGGCTTAGGGCTGGTTAGGGTTAGGGTTTAGAGGTTAGGGCTTAGGGTTTAGAGTTTACTAAGTTAGGGTTGATGAATAAATTAAGTTTACGGCTTAGGGTTCATTGAGTTTGTGGGGTTTAGGGCTTAGGGTTTATTAAGTCTAGGGCTTAGGGTTTATTAAGTTTAGGGCTTAGGGCTTATGAAGTTTAGGGCTTAGGGTTTCAGGGTTCAGGGTTTAGGGCTGAGGGTTTTGGGTTTAAAAAATTTGATGTTGAGGGCTTTGGGTTTATTACGTTTAGGGTTTAGGGCTTATAGAGTTCATGAAATTTGGGGTTTTAAGGTTTAAGGTTACCAGATATTTTCTACACCCCAAACTCCAAAATTCCACTCTCTGGACCCGCACGGGGACGTTAGTCTGGTGCCGTGAGCGCTAGATGGACGGCTGACGTTTTAGAAAGCATCTCCGGCTGTGGCATGGTGTGTGTCGGTAGCCATCTCTGGATCGTTTCAAGTACGTACGCTATTAAAGGAATAGTTGGTACTTATTTTCATTATTTCTTTGTGGCTCTGTATTATCGTTCTCTCCCTCTCTCTCTGTCTCTTGCTCTTTCTCCTTGCCCTCGTCGTAGGGTGTCTACATGTTGATTCAGTTGTTTCTCTTTCTTCCTGTCTATGTGCGCATCCATTGGTCTAGTTCCCTCGCTCTCTATTGCCTCTCTCTCGCCCTATCTATCTTTCCTCCCTATCTGGCCCTAGCTGCATGTTGCTGGTCCATTTCTTGAGTTGTGCCTGGGGCAGCCCGTCGACTTTTGCTTTCGCAAGCTGCACCATTCTATCCGCAGTCCATCAGGAAGCCCTCCCTGTGTAAGAGACAGCATACAGGCTTAGGCAACAGCAGAAACTGAAGGCTCTTTATTTGAAGGGGTATCCAGAGGGAGAGGGTACCCTAAACCCTAAACCCTAAACCCTAAGGGTGGCATGTAGCAGCAATCGAAGAGACGAAGAGGCTCAATGGAACCGGGTCAGCGTAAAGCCAATGCTGAGGTCAGACATAGAAATTCACGGGTTTAAGCAATTCCCGGCAGATTTCTTAAGAGTGCCGGCTACAGTCATTCAGAAGTTCCTTGCAACGAGCAATCGGTTGATCCGTATTCGTGGTTGAGCACACGCAGCCTTCTAGTCTCCTTAGTCGATGCAGTTCAGGATAGGTGAGATGCTGCCATTACATGAATGTTCTGATTCGGACAGGGCAGCCAAAAGGTCCATCAGAAGTGCCGACAGACTTCCGGTGCGCAGCCCTAAACCCTAAACCCTATATATACCCTAAACCCTAAACCCTAAACCCTAAACCCTAAACCCTAAACCCTAAACCCTAAACCCTAAACCCTAACCCTAAAGGTCTTCAACTTCAGCAACTACCCCTTGCTGTCGAAGCTCTTCGACGAGCTGGGAGTTGAGACGATCCAGTCCGACATGTCCTTGTCCGTGTCTGCTCGTGGGGTTACTGCCACTTGGCTACTTTACCAGGACTGAGGGTTTACGGGTTAAAGGGTTTAGGGGTTTTAGGGGTTTAAGGTTTAGGGTTTAGGGGACGAAGGTCCGGGATTGAAAATTGGGGAGGAAGGTTCAACAAGTCTGCATTTAGCCTGCCCCAAGCCTGCATGTCTGAGCCTCAACCAGGATGTCCAAGACTTCGAGTGGTCCTCCAAGTCGCTGTTCCCGACGTGGTCGGATGTCTTCAGCGTGCGTGGCTGGAAGCGACTGCAACCCGGTGGCACGACAGCTTTTCAATGACTGCAGACCGCCAGCAGCTACTGGATTAGAATTAGAAATGGAACAGAAGCAGCCGAAACCGGCAGAAGGAGGGAATCACTGCAGCCCATTCCGCATCTGTTGTTTGACTTCACAGGCTCGTTCGCAAGTACAGTCATGAGAAAACATACACTCCCAGTGCTCCTAGATGTTGCAGCTGCCCTGGAGAGTCGCGAAGCCGACATCTAAAGCCGGCTCATGGGGCCGAGTTGTTCCATTTCAGAGTGTCATGGTGAGCCCTAGGAGTCGATCAGGCTGTCTTATTGCAAGGACACATTGCACAACCAGTGGCACCTGAGCGTCTCGTGAACACACCTTGCATATGTATGCGGATATATATATATATATACACATATACATATGTATGTGTGTGGGTGTGCATGTGTATGTGTGTATATACATATATATATATATATATGTATTTATGCTCGTTTGTTTGTTTGTACTTCTATAAAGTTCTATATATATATATATATATAGTTATATATATATATATACACATATCTGTAGCTATATATTCTGTACTTTTACGCAGGTTCGAGATCCTTCGCTTTGAGCGGGCAGCTCATGCAGCCCTCCATGCGCCCTGGATTTTTCTCCTCTGCGACTCTCATTGACAGCATTTCTAAGAAGTTTCTCTAAGTACTAGCTCGAGTACTATTCCAACTACCATCACTACTACGATCACCACAAACACTACTACTACGACGACGACTACTACTACTTCTGCCACCACGACTACAATTACTAGTAGTGTCACTTCTGTTGCTCAGCTACTCCTATTCCGTTGCTTACTTTGAGTTCTTGTGGTCCTCAGTTTGTAGCATGACGACATGTTCTCAGGACAGTTCAGTTCACGGATCACATCCGACCATGCAGTTTACAACACATTCTATGTAGGTACAGCCTTGTGCTGCTCGTTTTGAGCATACCTGTAGTCTCCATTGTAGTTCCTTTTTGGGGATACGTTATAAATTCCTTCATATATAATTGGTTAAGCCAAAAATAGGAACTACAATGGAGACTATAGGTATTGCATTAGGTGCATCCTGAAACTCTGGGCGATCAGACGATGAAGGCCTGGTTGCTAGGCCAGGGTTTCAGCGCCTCGGATGCAATGAGGAGACATGGGACTTTCCGAAAAAAGGTGGGGTACCTTATTTTGGGGTCCTTATTATAAGAATCCTATTATTTAGGGTACTATATTAGGGTACCTTATTTTGGGGGTCCTTATAATAAGGATCCTATAATTTAGGGTATTATATTAGGGTCCCCTATTTTTTGGAAATTCCCATTTGAGTTGGCTGGGAGCTGCTCCTTGCTCTAATCACCATCCTTCTGCATCCGTGAAGCAACCTTCTTCGGCAGTGTCGTGCATTTTGGGAAGCTGTTCGCATACAAAAATATACGTGTATATATATATATATATCTACACACACACATGCATACACACATACACACATACATACATACATACCTACATACATACATACATACATACATACATACATACCTACATACATACATACGTACATACATACATACTTGCCGTGCTCATGTGCACAGGTAGGTATGTATGTATGCATGCATGTATGTATGTATGTATGTATGTATGTATGTATGTGTATATATATATATATATGTATACAGAGAGAGAGAGAGAGACCTCTGGATGTACGAGTCGTGTCGCTCCGGTGAGGCCAGCAGCTCATCGATGAGTACATCGCTCCGATGGGCGCAGCTCTCTGGAGCTGCTCCATGGATGAGCCTCGGGCCGGCTGTGGAGAACAGAGCAGGATGTAGCACAAGGCATTATGCTGCAAGAACATAAACTGATATGATGTGATATGATGTGATAGGGCTTTTATACAATGTTGCAAGATAACACAATCAAAAGATACTCGAGTTTGTTATTGATTGGCGCAACATAACATACTATCGTTTCATACAACATAATAGAATATAAAGTTCTTCAGTTCCACATATTATCACACCGCATAATATAATGAAACAGATAGTATAATACAATATAATATAACATAAAGATAGTAGTATAGTAGACAATACGGTAAGACGTACGATAATTTGATATATCATACTATAAGATAATACAAAATGGCATACTATACGATAAAGAATGTGCTATGATGTAGGAAACGAGTATAACTCTGCATATCAGAACACAATATAGTATAAGGTAACTTGATATACAACAATATGAGGAACTATAGTACAAATTAGAGAATCCCTTCTGAAGCCCTCGGTTCATTGCGCTCGGAACTTCCAGAAGCATTCTGCTTCTGCAGGACTTCCAGATTGGCTTCCAGTTTGTTTGGCTCAACATGTTGGTAGTTCTCTAAATCAGGGTTTCCTTCTAGGTCCCCAATACAGTACGGCACCCTTACAAAAAGGACCCCCGTAAGGCCAAAAGGGGCCCTATTTTAGAGAACTTCCCATGTACAAACCGAGAGCGTTTGCCCGGCGATCCAATTTCAGAGACCCTCTACACCAGCGTCCACCAAGGAGTGCACAGCTTTTCCTGCCTGCATCGTACTAGGCTTCCTGGACGCTTGGAGGAACGATTAAGGTTGAGGGTTTAGGGTTACTTGGAGGTAATTCAGTCCATCCCGGGATTTGTTTGTTGCTCCGGCAGAAACGAGTAGCCGGAAGAACCACTCTTTCTTGACTTTTTGTCGCAGCTCAGGACAACCACTTCATGCTTCAGAGAGCCCGGCCGAAGTGGCGGACTCCGAAGTATCGAGCTGAGGACTACGTCCGGAAGCTCCATTCAGCTTTGTCTGCAGCGGGCGGGCGAATCTGCTCTAGCACAGACGTCTCCAAGTTGGAGCTCTCGGAGGGCCAAGGCATCCGCGTTGTAGCCTCCAACGGTCAGTACGTTTCTGCCTCAAGCCCAGTCTTCGACAAGGTCGTGCCTTGGACATCATTGGAACCTATCCCACTTCTCTTCAGTAAGAGAGCTGACATCCATGGTTTCTGACGCAGCCGAGGTTCTCGCGGTGCATGCGGACCAGGCGAGCCAGATCTTGTCGAGGTCAAACCTTTCAGACGGGGACAAAAAGCTCTGTTCCGAGACCATCGACAACTTCAAGTACTCATCCAATGCCGTAGCTCAGCTTCAAAGCCCTACGCCTTGACGCAGCCGTGTTTCTAGGTCTAGGTGGATCTGTTTTACTTTCACTTTGGTTCCCTGAGCTTCTCACCTATGTTTCTTCTCTGTTAGCCTCCACCTCATGCTTTTCTGTTGGCCTGGCTTCTCATTTTTTCACCTGCATTAACAGATCTAAGTACTTCTACCAATGACTCACTAGCTTCGTGCGCATGCTAACTAGCAGTTTTGGCGTGTTTGTCGAGTCTGGTCCGTGATGTTCGTCTTCGACCATACAGTACGTACTTTCCTATGTGCCTGTGAGCAGTGCACGCGATTGCAACTGGAAAAAGGTAAGTCAAAACGGATCCACGGATAAACAATAAGTAGATACTGCACAAACACACAAATTAAAAGTAAACGTGTAGCAGACAAGTGACTGCTTGAACCACAAATGCGTAAGTCAATAGGAGGTAGATAAGCAAACCCAGAAGCAAATCGATTACCAGAGATGTATATATATATATATATATCGGTATGTACAGATGATAGATGATAGATCGATAGACCGATAGATCGATAGATGGATAGATCGATGGACGGATAGACGGCTAGTTGGATAGACAGAAAGAAAGAAAGATAGATAGATAGATAGATCGGTAGATATATAACACATGGGTAGAAAGGTATACATAATTAATAGATAGACAGATAGGTTTGTACCGATTGAAGTCGGCAAGATTAAGCATCTAGTTAGATACGTACATACCTAAATCAAGCGGGGCTTTTTGTGTCTATGCAAGCGCGTTTGCGATTGCTTCAAGACCGCTGCGTGTGTCTGCCTCACTGTTTGCTTTTGCAGCGGGCAGTTTCGGGGGATGGGACACGAGACGGCCGGAGGTGTGGAAATTCGGCAGGTGCCAGTTCGAAGGAAGGCCCTTGCCGCCAACCAACAAAACTAGGGTTTAGGGGTTTAGGGTTCAGGGAACCAGCAAAAGCTCTTCTAGGCCCGGAACATTGAGGACGGGGAGGGGTCTGGGCTTGTTATCCTCGCGGGCGGGAAACGGAGCCGGAGGGGTATAACGGAGCCGAAGGGGTATCGTTGCTGCATGTGTAGACTCTCGGTCTCCACCGGCAACAGCAGCCTGCCACTCCCAGGTATACATCCATACGGACCCCAAGTACATGCCCAAGAAGTGGCTTCGCTGAGTTTCAGTCTCTTGCTTGTGGCCCTACTGATGTCCAGAATCCGGGCCTCCAAGCCACCACGCTTACGCGCCAGAGCCCGGACCTCCGCAATGACCGTTCCAGTGGGTCCTGAAGCACCAAACAAGCCTAAATCGTTCGACTTCAAACCCCAAATCCCCAGACGCCTTCCCTGAAACTCAAGGAAGTCGTGCTGGAGTGCATGGAACGGCTTGAATCTTCCTGGAGCCCCGGCCGTTGTCACCTACTGGATCAACAAGCTTCCGGACTGGTTTTTGGGCTTTTGGGTTTTGGGGGTTTTGGGGGTTTTGGGTGCAAAACTTCGGCTTGGAATTGTTCGGCCCATTTCGGGGTTTAGCCTTCAGAAGCTTTAGCGTTTCAGGAGGCTTGGCTTCCGTTCCAGGCATTGCAAAGATGGTCAAAGACGCAAAGAGCTATTCGCAATGTCGACAGGCTGACGGTTGGGGCCAGACGAACCCGTGAGAGATGCGGCAGCGAAGTCGGATGTTCAGGAACAACTTCCTCGCGGTCCTGGCTTGGCACACTCACACCGGCTTGAATAGATCTAGACTAGACCTCTCAGTGTGTGTGTGCACATGTATGCATGTTTGTATGCATGTATGCCTTCACGTATGTATATATATATATATATATGCGTACATGCAAGCATGCATGCATGCATGTGTGTGTACTGGATGTACGTACATAGCGGGCACACCTGCCCTGAGATTCAGATGTCCATTCGTGTAAGTGCTTATCAGTATGTGTCCTTAAGTGTCTTGACGCTTACACTCAGTAAAGAAAAACGTCTACAGCGTACGTGTGCTTACGTCATGCGTCATATACAGCACAAGCAGAGAAGAATGCACATATACACAAACACAGCATACACTCGCACAAGCACAGGTGCACATGCACGCGCACACGCGCACACACACACACAGACGGAAACAATACAGAGTCATGTGAATGCCAGCTTAAAGCTTATGCAGAGACATGTACACTGTTATTTACAGTTGGCAACTTTTGTATAGATACAACTGGCATATGTAACTTTCTTACCTATCCGAAGCAAGCAACCAATTGAGCGATCAACCAATCAATCAGTCATTCATTCAGATCAGTCCATCAATCAATCAATCTATGGAACAGTCATTCGATCCAGCTAGCTAGTTTAGCTATCTGTCCATGAGTAATCATGTGTCTATTTATCTGACAATCTATCTGTCTACCGATATAGAGAGATAGGTATGTCTGTATGTATGTATCTATGTACGTATGTATGTATGTATGTATGTATGTATGTATGTATGTATCTATGTATGTATGTACGTATGTGTGTATGTATACACATGTGCAAATGTATACACATGTGCAAATGTGTACATGTGTGGGTACTTACGGGACAGGCGCACAGCTGGACAAGCCACACCGGGTACTTGAGACAGACACGGAAGCATCTCGCAAGCCAGCAGAAGCTCTGATAACAAATGCGGAAGCATCTCGCAAGCAAGCAGAAGAATTGATGACATTGTGATGCTTTCTTGATTTTTTACGTGCTCTCTGAGGTCTCCTGAAATCGTCTAGTGACAGGTTGGCCGAGCCATGGCATTTGTGTGAGTGTACTTGGGTGTGTGTGCGAATGTACATAATCTCACAGCCATGTACTCGAACATGTCCACACTCATGCAGGTACGAATGAACATTTGCATCATATGTGATTATGTCATATTTTGCTTCGTGTTGCTCTCAATGTGTTTATTTGTTTCTACAAACAACAAAGCAAACAAACAAGCAAGATAGCAAGCGCACACAAACACGAAGAAACGACCAACCAGCAAACCAACAAACCAACCAACCATCGATCCCACCACCCATACATAGGTACATACATACATACATACATACATACATACATACATACATACATCGTTCCGAACACCTACATGCATGCATGCATGCATACATACATACACAATTACATCCGTACGCATACACTGCACATCAAGATGCATTCGTATATATATATACACACACACATACATACATACATACATACATACATACATACATACATACATACATACATACACACATACACACAGACATACATTCATGAATGCATGCGTCGGTACATACGTACATACATGCATACATGCATGCATGCATGCATGCATACATACATAAGCATAACATACATACGTACCTGTGCACATGAGCACGGTCTGACTTACACACATACATACATACATACATACACACATGCATGCTTGCATGCATGCGTTCACATACATACATGCATACATACATACATACATACATACATACATTCGTACAACATCGTGCAAGCATACAGCCATACAGCCATACAGCCGTACAGCCATACATGCCGACGGATGCAATTCCTACCGTGCTGAGGCTGCAACCAGGTGCCTGCACGGAGGGCAAAGACGCCCCCGGGCTACACGCTGATGCATTGCAGGGAGTATTGATTCCACCGAGCGCGTAGAGATTACGATCTTAAAGGCGTACAACGAGTCTGGACGTTCAAAGCCGCAGCAGAGTTTACGGCTCATTTATAATTTTTATTGTTTGGTTTATGTCTGGGGGCTTGAGTGTTTTTGTTGTGGGTTGATTTTCGGATCGGGCCAGACACTGTCCGCTTTCAGGTCTTTGTGACACTGAACCCGCCTGATGGATCCATCGACGAGAGCCAAGTGCTTGCAAAGCCCTTTGACAGCAAAAGCAAGCTCGCGGCGGCAGACATCTTCGGCACACGCCCCATTGCAAGTTGAATACTGGCGTTGCATTTCAGGTTGTATTGTCAGCAATGGTGTGTTGAAGCTCATTGCTTCATCCTGTGCACAGACTCATCGACTCGTCGGCTGTGTAGCACAAAAGGTACATTTTGGACCATCCGCTCTTGGACGAGAAGGCATTGAAAGTCCAAAGAGCCGCTCGGAAGTCTTACAGTTTCGGACGGCTAAAAATTGGATTACGCCGACCTTGCTGAACAAACTTCAGAGGATTAATATGTGGACATATGCCCAAATTATACAACTGGTGCCTCTCGCATGTGGAAATACGTCAGACTTGTTCAGCATTCGGGCTGGAGGGTTGTAGTTCCTTGTCACGGTACCTTGTAGGATCCTAAACAGAGAATTGGAAAGGAACTACCAAGGAGACTACATGTAAACCACCCTAACGGTCCATGTGCTCATATAGTATATACATTGGCCTTAATGTAGTTCATATTTAGATACTTTAGGGTCAATGTATATACTATATGGGTACATGGACCCTTAGGCCATAGTCGCCACAACCCGAGCAGAGGCGCTTCCACAGCTGCAAGGGCTTGGAGGACCGAGCCTAGCCGTGAACTTGATCCCTCAACGTAGCTCTTTCTGTGCAAGATCCTGGCGGGCTGACGTATGTCATTTGAGAGTTATCTGCATCTGGAGCTATCGGCAGCTTGGTCTCCTTGCCGCCGCTGTCAAGCTAGTCATGGTCGGGTTGAGTCTACTTAGAGGCCCAGGGGACTTAGTAAGTCGGTTATAAGTAAGGTTATAATTAGGGTAACTCCATTTAGGGTACTTATAACTCTACTTATAACCTACTTACTAAGTCCCCTGGGCCTCCAAGTATGGCAGGTGACTTGTGTCCTCACATTGCCATGTCAATGTGCTTTGCGCAGTGCTTGACTTCGAGGATCGGGGAAACTCATTCGCTAGTGCTAGTGATATGCACGTTTAGGACGTCACGTCAGGGGCAGCTTGTGGCCAGCCTTATATAGTCCCTTCAGCCAGCGATGGCGTGTGTTCAGTGAACCTGAGAAGAGCTTGCAAAAAGCAGAACGGGGAGTTATGGGATTTTCATGTAGTAAGTCAACCTACCATGGACTTTGCAATTATTCTTAGTAGCATCCCCGCCATAAGAACTCTTATGTACGACACCCCGAACTTCAAAAAAGCCCCACATCTCAACGGCCGGCGTGCAACCGGAGTTCCTCAAGCAGCAAGCGCCCGACCCCAGCTCTCCAAGCAGGACGGATCTATTTCTGTGGTGCGTGGGCCGGATGGGGGTTCCATGAGGACAGGCTTTCGTGGGGTTGCAGGTGCTGCGCGATGAGGTTGATGATGGTCAGTTGCAGAAGGAGCAAGTCCTTTAGATATCGGAAAATGTGCGTACTGCATGCTATCATATCTTGCTTTTTTGCTCCTGCACGGAGGACTGTTGGATCCTTCAAATTTGCGTTGCTGGGAAAATATTGTTCGTCGATGTTTGCAATATTTTGCAATTATGCATCGCCACGGCAAGCTGACATGGCTGAACGCTGCTAATGGGTGCTGGTAATTTTGTGGTTTCCGTATGAGATCGTGTTGTAAAAAATGTTTCTTGATTACACTCCAAACACCTTCATTTTGGTCGATCATCGTCATCGTGAGGTCTTGTCCAAGAGCGAGCTGAGACTGTACATCGGGGTTGTATGACATTATGTCGCCTTTCGACGAGGTCTATACTACTATACTGGCTTGTTGGTGGCCTATCTCTGACGTTACATCACGGCGCAAGCTATCTGCAAGGCCAGTAGCTGTCGATGCGAAAGGAAGAGGCTCCGAGCCCAAGAATTCTGCATGATGCTAGAATGTCGCAGAGCTTCCGAGATCCATTCGGACCCTAAGTTCTCTCAGGCGCTTTTTCCGAAGTGTCTACAAGCCCTATAAGTGTTGAACGCTTGTTTCATCGTAGTCCGGACCTAACGCACCTCGCACCATCTTTGCCACGACTTGGGGCATGCAGTACATGAAAGTTCGGTGGGTGCTGTGCCATGCTCGCAATACTGGCGACTCTAAGTTATACCATGTTGAGCAGCCCTCCCATAGATTCTGCAAGCTTTTCAGACTGTAGCCACCGACCGGCAACTGCTGCAACGGCATACCTGACTCCAGTGCTTCGTCTCCAGGATGGAATGCGCAGTGCCCGGGCTGCGTGTGAGGCAATGGGCGTCGATCCTTTGCCGCCCTTAGAGCATGTTGCTAAACCGCTAAACGTCTTGCAAGCAGAGTTAGTTTTATCTCATCGCAGACTAGCAGACCGTCATTATCAAGTATGTAGTCTTGGCCGTCGTCATGCTTGTCATCATCGATGCTGTGATCTGCATGTCTCTATTGTAGGGGCTTCTGCTTTGTCGAGTGGGAACAGGATGTGAGGTTCCCGCCGCAGCTAGTGAAGCTCGCAGTTTCGTCGTGGAACGGAGTTTTGCTGTGTACTGCCACGTTGCATTGTGTTCCGTTTACACTACTTAAGTTTCTGAGTTGTTGCAATGGCATGTGAGCATGGGTCATGCAGACATGCTAGAATCTGCTAGAAGCACGCAGGCACGATTGTCGTCCTTGCTCCAACTTTCCCGCCAAATGACCGTTCTAGATACCCATACCACAGTATACTGAGGGCACCCGGGTATCCCTTTCCATGTTCCTGTACGGCTAAAACACATGACGGTTGTCAGCATTGGTTCCGAGTGTTCGGCAGACATGGACGATCGATATCCACCAACCTTGTGAAGCAGAAGAAGAGAGCATCCGTGCGAAACCAGGTTGCTGAGTCTCGGTCGAGGGTCCCTCCACCTAGACTCGGTGTGCTTGAAAGGATGGAAACCCCCAAATGCTGAAATCCTAAGCCGTGGCCTTTCCCGGCACCATCCAGAAGCCCAAAAGGTTCAGGGTTTAAGGGTTTAAGGGTTTAGTGCACCATCCAGAAGCCCAACTTCCAGCATGTCCAAACCCAAGGCCCGAGAGCCTGAAGCTTAATGCCGCACTTCAACTAAACCGGAAAGTGTGAGCTTCCTTCCGTCATATAGTAGTATGTTACTATGTTACTATGCTATTTCTATTATACTGCTATATGTTTATAATGCTTTTGCTACTATATTTCTATTACTACTACTAGTACTACTACTTCGAATACTACTACTTCTTCTACTACTACTACTACTAATAATACTAATAATACTAATACTACTAAGAGCTAGTGCTTCGAGGACATGGCGGATTGGCCTGCTGGGCGCCGGCCACTGGGCTCGATGTCCTGGGCGGCCAAGCACCTCGTCCTTTCAAAACAGGCTTTAGGGTTTAGCGTTTAGGGTTTAGGGTAGAACTACGGGTTTAGGGTTTACGGCTTAGGGCCTAAATCCTAGATCCTACCTCAAAAAAGGGAGCCTAATTTAGAGAACTACGAGTTTAGGGTAAAGTGCTGAGGGCCTAAATCCTAAATCCTGAACCCTAAACCTTTAACAATAAACCCCAAGCCCCAAACCCTAAGACCACAAGCACCGATGTCAGTGCTTCTGCTACTACTGCTGCTGCTGCTACTACTACTACTACTTCTTCTTCTACTGCCACTACTACTACTACTACTACTACTACTACTACTACTACTCCTACTGCTACTACTACTACTACTACTGCTGCGTACTAC